TATATATATATTGTAACCTTGTCATTCTTGAATAGAATGTGAAAAAAAACCTGTCTAAACATGGATGATGAATGGAAGGAATCTAAAATACTAAGTCCCTCTATGCATTGTATGAAAAAAAAAACAATGCCAGAAAACAATGCCACAAAAATGGACATATGTGCTTGTGCTATATGAACCATACCCTGACTTTGAAGCCTTAAAACAGTTGCTATATTTTAATACAAAATGCAGTCTATATAACAGGGTAAAGAAGCCATGTTACCATGGTACTGTTCTTTGAATGTGAATGAGTTTCTTTTTCTAAAAATACAGCACCTGGTGCTGAGATTCTATCCAAATAAATGGTTGACAGTTGAATCATAACATTTGCCATCACTGAAATAAGAATTAGAAGAGATTTGCTTCTATGCACATCAATAGAGTGACCTGATATGAAGGATGTTGTCAGTGAAGCTACAAAAAGACATCAATCGAAGAAAGATTTAAAAAAACTAATGATGTGAAAGTCTTGGAGACATGAAGTACAACGAAGAATACTGTATTTCCTATATTACAAGCACATCTCAAATACACATAAAGTAATAGTTGCATTAGTTGCATGCCAAATCAATGAACAATTTTGACCAAAGACTTGCCCCTGTCATTTACATTATGAGCACATGTGCACAGAGCAAATACAACTGCAAGCAGTGATCAGGAAGGTTCCAAGTAACTATGGTGTACAAATTATAGACATTTGATGAAATCATAATCAAAAATGATGACTTGTTATTACAGTCATATATCTTATACAACAACACAATTATTGTACTAGTTGAATGTCCTTATCTGCAACAGTACTTAAGATATTACAGTTATGCATATTAATGAAATCACATGACCATATATGGTCATTTGATACATTTTATTCATATCACTTGTCTGATGACTTAAATATAGCTCTGGTTGCATCTCCATATTTGCAAAAGTGCTTGAGATGTTATAGTTATGCATAATAATGAGGTAACATAACCCCTTTACACCAAATGGGGAAATAACATTCATGGCTTTCAAGTAATCAGAACTGTGATTATCTAAAAGCACCTATGTACCAAATTTCATTGAAATTTGATGAGTGGTACAGACTCAAGATATCTGTGCAACACCTATAAATTTGTTAACTTATGCAAATTAGTAAGCACAATAAGTAAACTAAACACATGTATGACTTTTCTCAGAGCATGTATGTACCAAGGTTCATTGAAAACCGATAAGTTGCTTTTGAGATATTGGTGGAATTGCTAAATAATGAGTAATAATTATGCAAATTAGGTAGTTAATTTAGACTTTAACCGAAAAGCTAATTAGCCCAGATCATTCATTTCAGTGTTAATGCTACTGCCTACACAAGGCTCCAGCTAGACTCCTATACAGTTTTACTGAACACATTCAGAAAGCACATTTCAGTTTTGATTAGTTTTGATTCCCTTTGACAAAAGCACCGCTGTGCTGAGATTTTGCTCTATAATTTCTTATGCAAACAACAACCCTAATATTAATTAGTAACGTTGCCAAGTATACGTGAGAAAGGTATGTGTGCTTAGTATTTTTCTCTTTCAAACCAGACATAGATGGCATAATAATAATTTATTAACACATATCCCTCAGAAGAGATGAAAAGGGTTACAATTGAAAAACAATGGAAAAACTAACAACAAAAACAAATAAAGACAAGAAGAAGATGAAAAAAAATGATAGAAAAGGCCAAATCAGACTAAGTTGCATGTTGCTGTCTATGCTGTATACTTAATGAGATGAACTGTGCAAGAGGTATTGACAAGTCATTGGTGCTCATTATGTATTCAAATTTATTTTGCATTGTGTCAAATTTATCATTCATTTATTTAGCGCCTAAAAAAACAATTTCTTTCTGTGCATTTGGTATTTTGTACAAACCATTACAAAATGTCATTAATCTTCAATGTGATCACCATCACAATGTTCACAGATCCTTACATCAATAGGTATATTGGAATGGTAAACATATGCAATTTTCAGGGAGTGATTACTTAATCGAAATTTGGTTAGCGACCCGCGAAAAAAAAACATTTTTTCAGATCAATTAGGTATCTTTTCAATGCAGACTTCTTTTTTAAATAACCTATAAGTTCTAAGTTTATTTTTTGCATTTTCATTGTCATCACTGATCTTTGATGTTACAAAATCGTCAACCCCTTTCCGATCGTTTTGTCAATTTGTACGTTTCCTTTGCAACATACCAAAGTTTTACAAATCTTAATACAAAAATAAAAGCTTGCATAGTAAGGGGTAAAACAAAAAAACAAAAATGGCATTTCTAATACTTATTGAGTTGTTCAAACAGTATTACTAAGATACGAACAGACAGACATAGTGATTATGTTTCTAGATTTGTTGAAAGGTGACATAGGTAGATGCCGGAAAGCGGAATCAAGCAAACAAGGAAATGAATAAATAAACATGATATCCATTTGGAATCCGATTGTGGGAAGGTGAGACAGCTGTTCAAGGGAATGAATAAATTAATGTCATATAACATCCTTCCTGAAAACCGTTTTCACAATATTAGATACCATTAGGAAACAAGACAGCTATTATTAAATTTATACATGCCAGGTTGATCTGCCCTAAATCCAGATGTCTTATTTGAGAT